ATAAAAAAGACAATTGTTGGTATATCTATTTATCTTCACGTTGAAAAGATATTTATTTAATTTGTCAAAAATTGCACAAGAAATAAAATTGATTACAACGAACTGATATATGATTTGTCGGTCCAAAAAGCACACAGAATGAAGTAACAAGAATATTTATTAGATTAGATGTAGATACGTGTATTATTTTTAAATTGTTGTTTACGGTTGGAAATTCTCCCGCGTTATGTAACGTGTTGGTTTTGTTATCTAAATAAAATAAGATCGAATTTAAAAATGTTCTTTACCCCGTTTTGGATTCCGATGGAGCGTTCAGGCTCCATTTTGTCTCGGTCTAAATAAAGTACAACGCGTTAATTGCTTCACCGACTTTTTATATAAAAGATTAAATATTGTTGCTGGTCTCCTTCTCAAAAATTTTTAAATTGTTATTTCATTTGAACACTTAATATTAAATTTGGTCTATTAATTAAATAAGACTTTTATGTTAGAAGAAAAACGACGAATTTTGTTTACTGGAAATGATCGAAAGAATAGAAATTATCAAATTTTTGTTTAAATTCATGCTTAGTTCTTGACGATATCATAGAGCATACACTTTTTTTTATATAAATTCAATCTTTTATGTTGCGTAGCAGTTATGCCCGCGCGATTCGTTTTCATTCCAACTTTCGATCCATCGATCGACACAAAAGGCCGCGAAAACAATGCGTCTTTCACAAAATCCCGTAATAAATGCGACACCATACGTCCGTATGGTGACACAATACGTAACGGGAACCTATGTATCGAGAAAAATGGTTTGGCACACCAAGTTCCACACCCTGGTCGCATCGTTCGCCTGATTTAAAACCATTCCAAGTTCTCTTCATCGATCGATAACACGGAAATTACAATCTAAAGTAGATAAATTGCAAACAAAACTGTGACGTAACATAAAAGTGCAATTATAAATGTAAACAAGTCAATAAAACAATATTTAAACCAGAGACCAGGCCTTTTTGCATATTTTTCTTATACAGGGTGTTCGAACAACCTTGGGAAAAATTTTAATAGGACATTCTAGAGGCCAAAATAAGATGAAAGTCAACAATATCAATTTGTTGATTGAGGCTTCGTTAAAAAGTTATTAAAAAATTAAGTTAAAAAATTTCAAATCATTTTGGCAAAATTATTTTCGGCTGTGGGGGTAAATTACAATCATTTTTGGTGAATACACATAACCTTGAAATCCTACACATTTTCGAGAAAAAAATTCGAGTAGGTACTGAAATTTTTAGACGAAACTAAAGATTTCAAATCATACTAAAAAAATTATATTTAATTACAGGGCTCAATTGTAAGCATTTTTGGTGAATAGACATACACCCGAAATCCTACCCATTTTCTAGAAAAAAATTCGAGAAGGTATGAAATTTTTCGATGAAACTAAAAAATTTCAAATTGTTTTGAAAAAATTATTTTCGGTTGCAGAGGTCAATTACAGTCATTTTCGGTGAATAGACATACCCTCGAAATCCTACGCACTTTCGAGAACAAAATTCGAGTAGGTGTTGAAATTTTACGACGAAAAAAAAATTTCAAATCGTTCTAAAAAAATTATTTTTCGTTGCGGGGGTCAATTACAACCATTTTTGGTGAATACATATAACCCCAAAATCCTACGCATTTTCGAGAAAAAAATTGTTTTCCGAAAATATACTGTGTGGCCAGAAATGTTTCTCTAACATTTAAACGAAGCCTCCATCAACAAATTAATATCCTTGATTTTCGTCTTATTTTGGCCTCTAGAATCTCTCATTAAAAGTTTTCCCAGGGAACACCCTGTATAATTGAAATTTTTATTTTTATTTCACAACTAACATTTATCTTTATCTTTTATTCGTTATTCGATAATGTTTATCTATATTTTATCCAGATAAGAATTCTGCCCACCTCTGGCCGCTCAATTTGTTACATTCAACATGCTACATAAATGTTAAATAAAACACAATTGTCAATAAATCAAATTTTTCAACGATATAACACGTCCAACGTTGTAATAACAATGTTTGCTTAACAAACAAATATTATTCACCCCTTGGAGTGGTTAATTGTTTACAAATTTACGATCTATTCCTTGGAAATATTCAAGATGACCAATATTTCTAACCCTATGTGCATCCTCTTATTCAGCTTCACTTATTGTTAATACAAACGTAATTAATCGCGAACAAAAAATTGTCCATTCATAGATAGCGAAAGAAGCTGCATTGCTCAATGACCTGATCCATTGAATTATTTGCGTGGAACAGTGTACGCGTCAAGGAAAGGGAAGAGCCTTGATGAATTCAGAAATAACTGTATTTTCATAGATAGTGCGTATCGCTTTTAAAAATTGATAGACTAATCAACTGTTACGTCGTTACAACCTCGTCGTGTTTTCGGGACACGCCCTGAGCATCTTATCCTTTCGCGTAAACATCAATTTCATTAGAATTTATATTTTCCCAACACGACGAAAAAAGGAGAAAGCATTATTTGAAAATCGAACGCTTGTATTTTTACGATTAACGAGCGAGTCTATACGATTGTATTTTTTCATTTTATAAGAACAAACGGTATTCCATATTTCATGTTTGTGAGCAGAAATAATATCGAATGCAGAGACGCGCGAAATTTTATTCGAACAACGGATGTTTAATAAAAACACCATTTAGCTGTTTATTGGCAACGTTCATTTGATAATTCAATCACTCAAATAAGCGTTCGAACAAAGAACGAATGGAAAGTTGTTTATTAGTTTCGTGGTAACCAAGAAAATTTCGAATTTTTTTTTTGACTAATAAAAAAAATTAACATTAACAAATTTGCATACCATAAAAGGTTTTATTAATATATTTATGAAAATATTCCGCCGTTTAAATAATTATTACCTTAAAAATAATACCGAAATGATAAGTCTGAAAGCATTTATTTTAAATTAGCATCGAATAACAATAAAAAAAGCGCGTAAGCGCATAATTGACCATACTTTTAGGCGATCTCTGGCAAACAACTTTATGATAAATGATAGTTTATAGGATGCGGTTGAAATTATTTCAGACGTTTAATCAGGTTAATTTTCTTGCTCCAATTTTCACAAATCGATGTGTGTGGAAGGAAAGTTTTTTTTTTATCATCGGTACTTGTAAGAGTAAATCCGAAACTGTAGAGAAATTCCTTATTCCGTTTAATGTTTCAGCTCTAGTTGCGAATCCTCTTCGAAATGCGCAGAATTAAACAAATATATATATAGAAATTATAAAGACAAGAAAATAATACAAAGTCTGGTAAACAATGACAAACAATTGCTTTAATTAATCGTGGAAAAATTACATTAGCTGTTGATAAAAGCAATTGATAGATAAAGTTTTGCGCATAGGTTCTGATTTAGGTGATTCGCATGAATTGTTCTTATTTTTCAAACAAGAAATCGATCACGGTTATCTCGCTGTTATGTATGAGTCATTTGTTCAGATCAAGCTGAAGAGGTTAGGAACGTTGAAAGAGCAAACGAAAGAAGGAATGTGGTGTCTGAGATACGAAATATTGAAATGAACAGATGTGTAAACGTTGTAAAACGCTAACCACGTAGAATACTCTTAGAACGGTACGATACCTATTATGTAATATTTTAATCCGGAGACGGTGTATCGAACAATACCGGTAGTCATGAGGCTTTATCCTCCATCCTTAACTTGCTCTTCTAACCTTCGTTACCTTTCAGTTTGCTCGTAACAATTGACTTTTACATAATAGAAAGATAATCGTGTTCAATGTTTCGCTTAAAAAGAAAAAGAAAAAAAAAAATTATCCTCCATCCTTAACTTGCTCTTCTAACCTCCATTACCTTTCAGTTTGCTCGTAACAATTGCCTTTACATAATAGAAAGATAATCGTGTTCAATGTTTCGCTTAAAAGGAAAAAGAAAAAAAAAAATAAATGTTTCGTTACGAACGATAATTTTCAAAGAAACCTACCTATAGATACGATTTAAACAAATTTCTTGGCACAATATTTCATGACACGTGAAATCTTATCTGTAAACTCATTTTATCAATAGTAAGTAACTTTTTCGCAACAATCTTGCCTTTGTTACCTGCGTCTACGATTTTACATTACGTATTTCCTTTAGAATTTCCGTAGACAAGCTTTTCAGTTCTGTATACTCGGAAGAGGATCCAGAAACAAGGTTGAAAGTACCAAAAAGGAAAGAGCTTTAATTTCTATCACGAGATGGGTAAAGTTTTATTCGAACAATAAATGACACGATGTCTATTCGATCTGATCTGAAACTTTAAAACTTGAATGGTCGTCTTTTATTGGCTTTGCTCGTCACAACCAACAATTGAATTTCATTCATCAATGTTTGCGCCGCATGGCCGACTTGGATCGTCTCAAAAGCGTCCCGACGTTTGAATGAAAGCGAAGAGACTGGAAATTTTGAATCGATCCGATAACGATCGTTACAAGTGCTATCAAATTGTACGTTTCTCGCGCGTAACCAGATTAAATCGTGTCCGCGATAACGCGGAAAACGTGATCCAAACTATCTGACGAAGGATTGGGCGCTCGCGTGATCGCAACAAAACAGCGTGCTCGAAGGAAAACAGGACGAGCGTGGCGAGAGAACGCCGGAGTAAATGCATCGAACGGAATCCCGACGCACGGCGATCGAAATCGATGGAAAGAAAATAAAAGATTCGAGTCGCGGTAACTAACGACAAATTAAGCATCGATATCGTGAAACCGCTTCCCACGGGCGAAAACACGGATTTCTCTTGCACCGTGAGCATCGCTCGTGGGCATTCTTTGCCAGCTCGTTGCACTACACTCGCAGTATTTATGCATAGGTGACAGACTGACCTTCAAATGTTAGACCGCGAGTTACAAAAGACGAATAAACGAGAAAGCACTTTCTTAAAGGCGCACGCGATTCTCTGTACGCGCGTACACTGTACGTAAAATGTGTTACCTACCGACTTCGGCATGCTGTATCGAGAATTCCAACATAGTAGGCTGCAATTGGCGGAATCGAGCTGGCTATTGTGTGTCAGCGCGATGGCAAAAACCGATCGCACTGTGGGGACACATAGATGCAACGAAACGACGATCCCGTGCGCTGCGAACGATGGAAAAGTCTCATATGCGCGCGGAGATGTCAACGGTGAAAGAAGATGGCGACAGCTAATCAAGTTTTCGACTCTGAAACACACTTAATCGCGAACGATCTCATCGGTACGATTTTACTTCGCGGTTACGTTCGGTTTAGTTTGGAAACTCGCACGCCAGCCCCGGACACCCAGCGTGTTACCTCCGTACGTTCTAAAGCTTCGTTCAACACGCACTAACACGCACTGTTTCGAACTATTCGGAACACCAGCACGCGACTACGCGTGTTTACGCGTAAAAGTAACGGGCAAGGCGGTCGTAAAGACTCGTTCGCGACAACCGAGCAGAGGGAGAAAGAGAGAAAAACAGACTTTTCACCTTCAACGGACTTCGCTGGACTGACTGAACCGAGAATGCTCCCGTTCCCTCTCCACTTTGTTCCGCCCCTCTCACCTCTCCTACCTCTTCTGCCCCTACTTTCGTCCTTTCTCATTTACGCCGAGCGTATTTCTTTCCCGAGGGAGTACCTACAGCGGGACACGGGCACTGATCGAAATCATTGATGTGCACCTGTTGCCGATACTCGGTCGAACAGGTATCGCGGGGAACGCGTTACGATTATGAGAGGATCGAACGTACTCCTTCTCTTATGTAGAGTTCGTCACGCGTCAAGAACGAACAATGTTTTCGATTAGATCGTTATCAGACGCAACGCGTCAACACAACGAGAAGATACGTATTTATCGTGGTCGAGCTTAACGGAGGCACAGAAACGGTCTTCGTACAAAAATTTAGAAAGCAGACCAACGCGCTTACCTAGAAAGTGTGTGTGCACGTGCACGCGGTCAAATATGTCCAAAGGCAGCCCCGTACTATACACACTCGCGCGACGGACTGTTCGACACGCGTACTTACGTTTATGACATTTGCTCAAGGGGGCATCCCGCTCTTGAAAACAGTTTCAATACCAGCGTGCATTATCCAACGTTAAGAAAGTTCTTCATTTTTTGATACGAGACACTTTTAGAATCGTTACAGAAAAATACCCCTTAAGTAATGTAATTGGAATGACCCAAGGTACACTATGGGGGGGTTACAAGATCGGACTTGCACCTCATTTGTTAAGTTTGCGCTTAGAGCAATTGCAAAAAATTTTTTTTTTAGAACAGGGCAAAAAATCAATTTTTTAGAGCAATACTTGTCCTTGCAAAAGTCTTGAAAATAAATCAAGGCTAAGCCTTCCAAAGAAGCAATTACGCACCGAGTTTTTAATAACTTCGTTGAACTAGGTGTGCAACCTCTAGATCAAGCGAATATTAAGAATTGAAATCTGTTGGTATGCAAACTCTCCGTATAATCATCCAAGGCTTGACAATTAAGCGCGATAGAGATAAATACGGTTGCAAAACACGGAGCTTAAGTCTTGCAGCGCTGAAAAGAGTTTACTGATGACCGTTAACCTCGATAGTTTCAGAGTGGCTGACAATACTCAAACGTCACAAACTATGCGTCTAACTTCTGCAAGATATGAACACCGTTAGACATAATGAACGCTTGCAAGTTAATTACATTTGTTTTTGAGAATAATGCTGGAGGTTTATCTTCTATAAAATGGGGAAAAATCGTGTTGGTAGCGTTGAATTTTATTTTTGCCGTTCGTGGTAACGAAGAAGACTCGTACAACGTTTTCTGTAACAAATTTGCCAGCGTAAGATTGAAATTTATTTAAATTATTTAAATTATTCGTGATATAATTACTTTGATCTTTGCTGTATGTGCATATCAATAACAAGAATCGTTCGTAAGTATGAATCTGTTAAATGTAGAACTTTTGAAACAAATATTTAACCGCGGTAAATTTACTTTCGCTTCTTTGGGTTTTCCTTGTTTTATTGTTTATATAGTAAATAGAAAAATAGAATGGATGAAGTAACGTTATTTGACGCTAACATATTTACAAAACAATCAGGTCACTCCGACGCAAATCAACAAAATTGCACGTTTCAGGCGTAAGACAAATATTATTACAAGAAATACACGGAAAACGTCGTCGAAAGGAAGGAATTTTTTAATTATTCCAATTGGTGCGTTGCAATGGATCTCTTACAGAAGCGGCGAACAATTCTTTGATAATTTTATGCAAAACAGTCCGATCAAAAAATGCCCCTTTGTCGTTCGTCGCATCTATTTTAAGAATTTTTATCCTTGACAGATAATTGTAATCGTATTTACATAATTTATGTTGTCTTCCTCCATGTTTTGAGTTTCAGTTGCTAATTGAAGAAGCAATCGGATCAATGTATCGCGAAAGTAATTCAGATCTAACTTGGAACGTTTTATCAACAACATACACGAATCCATTAATTCTTTTCCAGACGCCACCGATGTTTTCTGCTTCTTGGTTTCCGTCGTACGAATCATTTTGCGTATAGATACTTGTTCGCTTTAAATTCACTCTATCTTGTTAGAACGAAACGAAAATTTCTGTTCGACTCTGCACCGGACGGGGAATCTTTTTTTTCAAATTTCTGAATTGGGAATTTTCCCTTGTACGTTAAACGTTCACTTGCGTCGGAGTGATATCATACGAGCGCGATGTATTGAGATACGTGTCAAGATTGCGTAAATAATAGCGAAAATATGCAGTCGACGATGACGATTATCAGCGCGAGAGACCTTAGCGGGTGGTAAAACGTGTATTTGGTAAACGATTTCAACGCAACATTTCATCACTCGGACCGATAGAATTCGCGTAAACAGCCGATACCACAAGAATCTTTGAGCTTTCTCGCAAGGAACGTTCATACGCCATCCATCTTTCATTTTAAGATGCGTTTTCACTGATTCGAGAACAATTGATAACGTTATACACGCCTAATATAATATCAATTCACTGAAATATGAAACAACGATCGAATGATATCTTAGAAATTATGAATCTTAGAGAAACTATTAGAAATTGAATAAAACATAGTGCTAATACAATAATTCTAATTATTACGTATAATCCATGAATTTCTATTCGAATTAAATTATTTATAAGATGGAAGAATCAATTCTTAATAAAATGATATTAATATGAACCGATTACATAAGCAATTGACTTTATACACAACGAATTATTTTTAACTTTATACATTGATATTCATCATTCTCTCGTTCAATTTCAAATCCGTTAACGTATACTCTGCACAATAACACGAATAATTATTTGTTCTCGCTAATTAATTAGCACGATACGTATGTTTCGTTTCGAGGTAATTACGAAATTTTCTTGCCTTTTGATTTGCATTTCGATCTCTTACAAAACATCATCGCGTGCGTGCTTTGTACACTTTTCAGAATATGAAAGCTATTAAGCATACGCTCGGCAACTTGAGCATTCGTAACGGTACCCAACTTTTGGAGTCAATCGATTCTGAACATGCACGAATATACTGTACGTCACATTGTATTTATAGTCAGTGACAGATGTCATTTATCGGTAGTAAAATTTGTCTTCAAATAAACAACCGTTTTCTATTTCGAGCCTCCTTGAAAACTAGACTGAAAACAATTTTAAGGCTCAGTTATAAACTTAAATCGTTCTCGAGAAGTTCGGTTTATTTTGTACGAATCAGCTTGTTTGTTCTTGCAATTTCAAACATCGACGATCCTTTAATTGCTCAAACAATCACGCTTTTTGAAAATATTGGAAATGAATCGCTGTTGCTGTCTGAAAGTGTATTCGAATAAGCATATTTATAGTGGTTCGTACAATTAAACGAATAAGATTTTATTCGTGTAATATTTATTCAAATAAATTCAATATAATCCACATATAATACGAAAATAATTAAATAATAATCGTTCATCACGACGCATTATTTATTTAAATAACGAAGTATCAGCAATTTATATTTTTTAAAAATCGATTTGTTATTCACGAATAATCCCATGATTTTTATTCGTTGTGCACGAATAATCTCATGATTTTTATTCGTTATTCAAAATAAAATAACGAATTCCGCTGTCTGAACGTTTAGAATGCGTTGAACAAGTTCAACGTGGCAACGATTCAAGTAATCGAATCTGTTTAAATAGTTGCAACTGAGAAGGTAAATTGGAACAGTTCGATTCAATAAAATCTATAATATATATTTCTGTTTCCAAACGAAACACGTTTCCCTTTTTTTCTTTCTTAAAAAGTAATCTGCATTTCTATCGACACACTTAAATAATGTCCAGATTAGCTGGTAACATAATAATTTTTTGTAACACACCGGTTGATGTATCACGGTCATTGCAGAGCAACCGATGAATCACATTCGATGATCCAGACGGTAAGCTCCTTATAACGACGACCGTAATCTTCGAAATGCAATATGGATGGAAAATTTTACTATCATTTGCATATTTCGCTTCTGTCCTCGGCCGTGCGTCTAACGTTTCGCGCTAAATTAGTTTTTTTTTTTTCTTTTTTTTTTGCGAAGCAGCTCGCGATCTTTTACGACGACGGACAATGCTGAAATACCTTCCAATGCATGCATAAGAAGACTACTTGTATTTAACTAACACCTATTGTGCGGTAATTGGTAAATCAGTCGAAGAACATGTTCCGGGTGATTTTCATCATTCGACGTTATGCGAGCAATTGACGTCATACAAAGGTGACCGACTGTATTTTAATGCGCCGCGACATTATAACGTTACGTTTAGAGATTACATTGCATTAACCGGGATGAGGCTGTACCTCCTATGCCAGTCGATGATGTATAATAGTATCCTTGTAGATTAGCATATTTAAACGGTACTGGGTCTGTACAAGTTATGCCAGTATGGTTGCCAAACCTTTTAACAAAGGAATTTTGGGAATTCCGACAATTCGGGACATTCCAGATTCACTGACAGGACTCGAAGAAAAACTATTGACTCTTATTGATACAAGCTGTTCACGAACTTTTCAATTCTAAACTATTTCGTTTCTGTTTTCAGTTCATTTTTGCTCGCTTTGTTGTAAAAATTGATTTCAATTCATACAGGGTGTTCAGGCAACTCTGGGAAAAATTTTAGTGGGGGATTCTAGAGGCCAAAATAAGACGAAAATCAAGAATACCAAATTGTTGATGGAAGCTTCGTTAAAAAGTTATTAACGTTTAAAATTCCACCCAGTATTGAATTTTTTTCTCGAAAATGCGCAGGATTTCGGGGGTATGTCTATTGACCAAAAATGATTGTAATTGACCCCTGCAACCGAAAATAATTTTTTCAAAACGATTTGAAATTTTTTTTCCTTCGAAAGATTTCACATTTTCTCGAATTTTTTTCTAGAAAATGGGTAGGATTTCGGGGGTATGAGTAATGACCAAAAATTATTATAATTGACCCCTGTACCTAAATATAATTTTTTTAGTATGATTTTAAATATTTCAATT